CCTAATATCTCCGGGCAATGAGTTCCAGAGTCGGGGGCCACAGAGGAGAAGGCTCTCTCCCTTGTACCCACAAGGCGAGTCTGAGAAACTGGCAACAGCGAAAGGAGGGCCTCCCCCAAAGATCGAAGTGTTCGGGCTGGTTTATGGACAGAGATACGATCATGAAGGTAGGTTGATTGTAGGATAACTATAAATCCCAGCAACTCCAACTCCCATGTCATTACAAAATCAATCCCTCTCCCCAAACCCCACCAGTATTCAAATTTGGGCATATCATGTATTGGTACCAAATTTGGTCCAGTGAATGAAAATACATCCTGCATATCAGATATTTACATTACGATTCATAACAGAAGCAAAATTACATGAAGTAGCAACGAAAATAATTTTATGCTTGGGGGTCACCACAACATGAAGAACTCTATTAAGGGGTCACGGCATTAGGAAGGTTGAGAACCACTGAGCTATTGGCTGCTGGTCCTTGTGCATTTCCAGAAATGAAAGAAACAATGGTAACCAATGGCCCCAAAATATGGTGCCATTTTTGGGGAAACATATATTTGATAGCTTGGAAAGCAGTACATCATGCCATGTTTCATTCTCTTAGTTGAGAACAGCCGGAACAGCTAAGTTAATGTTTTCTTCCGTGTTCCTTACATGGATGTAAACTGCCTTGGGTTCCATGGTGGGAGAAATGCAGGAAACATAGTAAACAAATGAATAAGGTCACCTGTGTTGTAACGACAACTCAAATCCCTCACAATGAGATTGTGGGCTCCTCTGGACAACTGAAGCATTATCACCGTTCTCAACCTAGATGTTTTGGCCTTCAACTTCCAGAAATCCTAACAGCTGGTAAATTGGCTGGGATTTCTGGGAGTTGTAGGCCAAAACACCTGGGGACCCACAGGTTGAGTACCACTGATTCAAGCAGATTTTTAAAGGACAACGTTTTCAAGATGGAGACATGGGATGATGAGTAGTGTTATATGTCTTTTCATAGATTTTTGATGATATTAATGACTTTATTCATTTGGAATAGCCTTATATTTAATTCCATTTTAATGTCTCTATGTTTAAGGTCTTACATTGTGCATTGCATTGTTTTTTTTAGCATTGTGTCCCACTTTAAGTCTTGTTTGAAATAGCTGCCCACAGACTCTGAAACTCCCTCTCCACAGGGCCCTTCTACAATGCCATATAATCCAGAATATCATGGTAGATAATCCACATTATCTGCTTTGAACTGGATTATCTGTGTCTACACTGCTATATAGTCCAGTTCAAAGTAGACAATCTGGATTTTATACAGCTGTGTAGAAGGAGCCACAGACACCATCCCTTCTTGCCTTTAGCAGGCAGGTAAAAAGGCACCTTTGCCATTAGGCATTCAGGGAATTATGAGAGGGAAGGTTGCTGGAGATGCTGGAAATGGCATTTGGGGAGAGGGGCTGTCAAGATTTTGATTGTGATTTTAATTGTCATTTAATTTTGACACTGCATGACAAAGATTGCTAGTTATTTTTTACTTTGATATTCCCATTTATATTTGCTAGTTTTTATATTTTAGTTTGAACATGTATTTACTGATTTAAACTGATTTTTAACATACCAATGATAATTAATTCTGTTTTAATGTTCATAGAATCATAGAAAAATAGAGTTAGAAAGGACCACATGGACCATCCAGTTCAACCCCCTGCCATGCAGGAAAGGCACAATCAAAGTACCCCCGACAGATGGCCATCCAGGGAAGGAGCTTCTACCAGAGTCCAATATATTTGTAGATTTTAAATTATACTGAAATGCTTTTAGCGTAAGCCGCTTTGAGTCTCCTTGTAAAGAGAAGAAGCGGAGTATAAATAAATATAAACATAATAATAATAATAATAATAATAATAATAATAATAGTTTTAGTTTCAGGAGCGACTTGAGAAAATTGGCTATCTGCAAGGACACTGCCCAGGGAATGCCTGGATGTTTTACCATACTATGGGAGGCTTCTCTTATGTCCCCCCATGAGAAGCTGGAGCTGACAGACAGGAGCTCACCCCACTCCCCGGATTCATACTGCCAATCTTTTGGTTAGCAGTCTTGCTGGTGCAAAGGTTCAAGCCATTGCACCAGAGGAGGCTCCTACTAGAACAATAATAATAATAACAACAACAACAACAACAACAATTGATTGTGTCACATCCTAGCAGCCTTGAGTCCCTATGCTGGGAGAAAGGTGGGACACAAACAAAGTATATTGATAAATAAGACCCCTTCTATACTGCCAAATAAAATCCAGATTGTCTGCTTTGAACCGGATTATACGACAGCATACAGTCATATAATCCAGTTCAAAGCCAATCGTGTGGATTATATGCTTTGAAAAAAATAGATTATATGGCAGCATAGAAGGGGATGGGGTAAGCTTTAAGAGAGAAAAAGCAGGATATAATTGATAATAATAATAACAACAACACAATACCTGAGAATGTTCAGAATATGCAAGATCACCTGGTGGTTGGCAGAGGAGCATGAACACAAGCCAGCAGCACCTGCGGCCTCTTGTCTGAATGCAGTGGAATGAATGAATAATAATAAACGGGTTGCTGTGAGTTTTCTGAGCTGCATGGCCATTACACAGAAGCATTGGCTTTGAAGCTGCAAGGCTATATAGAAACCAACTCGCCTAGTTTCCCATAGACTTCACAATCTCTGAGGATGCCTGCCATAGATGTGGGTGAAATGTCAGGAGGGAATGCTTCTGGAACATGGACAGACAACCCGCAAAACACACAACCTAGTGATTCCAGTCAAGAAAACATTCAACAACAATAATAAAACTTTATTTATAACCTGCCCTATCTCCCCAGGGGGAACTTTATTATGGTGTTGAATGTTTGCCATATTTTTCTAACAAAAATATGGCAAACATTCAACACCATAATAAAGGATGGAAACAAAACAAGCCAAATCAAAACAGTAAACTTTATTTCTATCCCATCTTATCTCCCCAGTAGGGACTCAGGGTGGCTTTCTCTCTCTCTCTCTCTCTCTCTCTCTCTCTCTCTCTCTCTCTCTCTCTCTCTATATATATATATATATATATATATATATATATATATATAGTGGAAGGTTTGTGTACAGGGAGAGCGCGGGTGAGCTCCCTCTGTAAGCTCCAGCTCCCCATGCGGGGACATGAGAGAAGCCTCCCACAAGGATGGTAAAACATCAAAACATCTGGGCATCCCCTGGGCAACGTCCTTGCAGACAGCCAGTTCTCTCACACCAGAAGCGACTCGCAGTTTCTCAAGTCGCTCTTGACACAAATGTTTATACACACACACACACACACACACACAAAGAGCAAGAACGAGAGGGGGGAGGACATTCACTGCTGTATAAAAATACACAATAACATAAACCAAAAGATAAAACCCAATGTACATTCACACAAGCGGCAAAGACAATAGAACACAGGCCAATAGTTGTAGATCCCCCTAAGGCCATCGAATCCAAGGCCCTTCCACACAGCCCTATATCCCAGAATATCAAGGCAGAAAATCCCACAATATCTGCTTGGAACTGGGTTAGCTGAGTCCACACTGCCATATGTTCAAAGCAGACAATGTAGGATTTTATTCAGCTGTGTGGAAGGGGCCCTATGCTGCTCTGGAAATCTGGGGCCCTTCCACACAGCCCTATATCCCAGAATATCAAGGCAGAAAATCCCACAATATCTGCTTTGGAAGAGGCCTCAGGATCTGTGAATGCAAATAACCCAGTCCAAAGCTGATAATGTGGGATTTTCTGCCTTGTTATTCTGGGATATAGGGCTGTGTGGAAGGGCCCCCAGAGTACCTGCTTTGAACTGAGGCCCCTTCCACACAGCTGGATAAAGCAGTTCAGAGCAGATAATGTGGAGTTTTCTGCCTCAATATCCTGGGATATAAGGCTTTGTGGAAGGACCCTGAGTCCATAAGAACCTATATTCCAGTTCAAAGCAGATAATGTGGGATGTTTGCCTTGATATCCTGGGAGATAGGGCTGTGCGGAAGGGCCCAGTCCATAAGAACATATATTCCAGTTCAAAGCAGATAATGTGGGGGTTTTGCCTTGATGTCCTGGGATATAGGACTGTGTGGAAGGGCCCAGAGTTCGTAAGAACAAATATTCCAGTTCAAAGCAGATAATGTGGGGTTTTTGCCTTGATATCCTGGGATATAGGGCTGTGTGGAAGGGCCCAGAGTCTATAATATATTCCAGTTCAAAGCAGATAATGGGGTTGCCTTGATATCCTGGGATATAAGGCTGTGCGGAAGGGCCCAGAGTCCATAAGGCATTATATTCCAGTTCAAAGCAGATAATGTGGGTTTTTTGCCTTGATATCCTGGGATATAGGGCTGTGTAGAAGGGCCCTGAGTCCATGAGAACATATATTCCAGTTCAAAGCAGATATTGTGGGATTTTCTGCCTTGATATCCTGGGATATAGGGCTTTGTGGAAGAGCTCTCAAATAACCCACTTCAAAGCAGATATTGTGGGATTTTTGCCTTGATATCCTGGGATATAGGGCTGTGTGGAAGAGCCCTGGGTTTTTTATGGCAGGGTAAAAGGGGGCTACAAGGGAAGGGAAGTCCAGCATGCCCAAGAAAGCCTTTCCCTCCTTGGAGCTGGAAGCAAAGTTCTCCAGGAAGGCGAAGAAGGAAGCACTGATTGAGGCGCGCGCCTCCAACCTGAATCTTGCACAGACAGAGTGACCTGCTGGGCAGACAAGAAGCAACAATAACAACCACAATAAAAGGTTTGCAGGAGGGAGAGGATAGCGAGGATCAGGGTTAGGGATGCGACTGAATTCCCCCCTAGACACACATATATATATATATCCATATAGATAGGACTGGAGCTGGGAACAAAGCCAAGGTGAAGCCAAAGAGGAGCTGTGGCCAATGAAGCCTTGCCAAGGAAAGCAGCCCTTGCCTGCGCATCCCCCTTCCCTTTGCTCTTACCTCTGCAGCCCCGAGAGAGCCGATCCGTGTGTCCGACGATGGCCCAAGATGCTCCGAGATGGAGGAGGAGGAGGAGGCGCAAGAGGGCGGCTTTCCCCGTCCGCCTCCGCTTTCCCTTTGCCTCCTCCTCCTCCCGCTTCCCAGGCCGCCTTTAGAGCCAAGCGCGGGGCTTCCTCATTGGCGGCTGCCCGGTGAGGTGCCAAGGCCAGGCAGGGAGGAGGGAAGGCGAGCGCGAGGAGGGAGGAGGAGGAAGAGCCCGGCTCCGCGAGCGCGCAAGACAAGCAGGCTGGATGGCTGGCTGGCTGGCCGTCCTGGGATGCGCGCTCGCGTGGGAGACAGCGACATGGGCTCCCCCCCCCCTCCTCCTCCTCCTCCGCCTCCTCCTCCCCTCCCACCAGCGTGCACGCGCAATCCCGCTCTAGGCTTGGTGGCAAGCAACCTACATGGAAAGGTCCCAGCGGCTGGACAGGGCGAGAAAGATGGGGAGGAAGGAGGAATCTCACATTAGCTGCATCCATAGGAGTCCCCTTGGGGGAGATGGAGGCGGGGTATCAATAAAGTATCATTATTATTATTATTATTATTATTATTATTACTAGCTGTACCCGCCACACGTTGCTGTGGCCAACCATCCCTCTTCCTCCTTCTCTCTCCCTTATTCTCTTTCTTCCTCTTTCTTCCTTTTTATCTCTCTCTTCCTTCCTTCCTCTTTCCTTTCCTCTTTGTCTTCCTTCTTTCTCTTTCCTCCTTCCTCTTCCTTCCCTCTCTCGCTCTCTTCCTTCCTTCTTCTCTTTTTTCTTTCTCTCTCCTTCTCTTCTCTACCTCTTTCTGCCTCCCCTTTCTTTTCTTCCTCTTCTCCCTTCCTCCTTCCTTCCTTCCTTCCTTCTTCCTCCTTTCTTCCTTCCTTCTTCTCTCTTCCTTTCTTCCTCTTTTTTTTTCCTTCTCCCTCTTTTCCTCCTCCTTCTCTCCTTCCTTCCTTCCTTTCCCCTTCTCTCTTTCCTTTTCCTTCCTTCTCTTTTCTTTCCTTCTCCTTCCTTCTCTCCTCTTCCCTCCTTCCTTTTGTCTTTCCCTCCCTCTTCTCCCCTCCTCTTCCTTCCTTCCCCCTCTCTTCTCCTTCCTTCCTTCCTTCCTTCCTTCTTTCCTTCCTTCCTTCTCTTCCTTCCTCTTTTCCTCTTCCTCCTTCTTCTCTTTTTCTTCCCTTTTCTTCCTCCTTCCTTCTCCCTCTTCCTTCCCCTTTTTCTTCTCCTTTCCCCTTCCTTCTTCCTCCTTCCTTCCTTCTTCTTTTCTCCTCTTCCTCTTCTCTTTTTCCTTCTTTCCCTCTTTCCTCCTCCTTCTCTCCTTCTCCTTCTCTCTCTCTTCCTCTCTTTCTCTTTCTCTTCCTTTCTCCTTCCTTCCTCTCTCTCTTTCCTTCTTTTTCCCTTCCTTTCTCCTTCTCCTTCTTCTCTCCTTTCTCCCTTCCTTCCTTCTTCCTTCTTCTTTCCTTCCTTCTCTTCTTTCCTTCCTTCCTTTCTCTTTTTCCTTTTTTCCTTCTCTCCTTCTTTCCTCTCTCTTCTCCTTCCTTCCCCCTCTTTCCTTCTTTCCTTCTCTACCTTTTTCCTGCATACCTCCCCTTTTTCTTTCCTTCCCTCATTCTCCCCTTCCTTCCTTCCTTCCTTCCTTCTATATCTCTTTCTTTCTTTCCTTCCTTCCTTCTCTGCTATCTTCCTTCTTTCCCTCTTTTCCTCCCTCCTTCTCTCCTTCCTTCCTTCTCCCCTCCCTCTTTCCTTCCTTCCTTCCTTCCTTCTCTTTTTTCTTTCCTTCTCTCCTTCCTTCCTTCTCTATCTCTTTCCTGCAGGGCTCCATGATTAGTAAGCCGGCCGTCTGCATCTATATTGTCATTTTGGGGGGTTTTAAGTCCTTTCTGCTGCTTTTTTGGGGAGTTTTATGAGTGATGGTCACTCATTGGTCTCTTAGGGGTGTAATGTCCAAATTTGGTGCCAATTCGCCCAGTGGTATTTGAGTTATGTTAATCCCACAAACGAACTTTACATTTTTATTTATATAGATATAATATCTAGATCCATGCTACCCCTCTAGTCTGCCTTGGTTAGACCACACCTGGAATACTGGGTCCAATTCTGGGCACCGCGATTAAAGGAAGATGTTGACAAGCTGGAATGTGTCCAGAGGAGGGTGACTAAAATGATCAAGGGCCTGGAGAACAAGCCGTATGAGGAGTGGCTTAAAGAGCTGGGCATGTTTAGGCTGAGAGGAGACATGATAGGTAAAGGTAAAGGTTTTCCCCTTATCAGGCATATAGCCGGGCCGGGGGGGGGGGGGGTTCAAGGGCTTCAGCCTCCCCCCCCGAAATTCTCATGGTGGTCCGAAAAGGCCTTACTGGTACATTATTTAAACTGTTATGTTTTTATATCTTGATCTGATCACTATGCTCAATATATCCCATATGCATGGGGGTATTGAGGTAATGATACAAAAGGTTTGCTAGGGCAGACCCTCTCAGCCCCCCCCCCCCCCCCCCGAAATCAAAATCCTGGCTACGGGCCTGGCTGGGGGGGTGGGCTTGAGGGGATTCAGCCCCCCCCCTCTGAAATTCTCAGGATGGTCCATGAGAAGGCCTTACTGGTACATTATTTACACTGTTATATTTATTTATTCATATCATGATCTGATCACCATGCTCAATATATCCCATATGCATGGGGCTATTGGGGTAATGATACAAAAGGTTTGCTAGGGTAGATCCTCAGCCCCCCCCTCCCCCGAATCAAAATCCTGGCTTTGGGCTTGCCTGACATGAAGCCCAGTTGTGTCCGACTCTGGGTGTGGTGCTCATCTTCATTTCTAAGCCAAAGAGCTGGCATTGTCCGTAGACACCTCCAAACTCATGTGGCCAGCATGACAGCATTGAGTGCTGTTACCTTCCTGCCAGAGCGGTACCTATTGATCTACTCACATATGCATGTTTTGTAACTGCTAGGTTGGCAGAAGCTGGGGCTAACATGTCCCAGCAACTGGGCAGGGCGAGAAAGGGCAAAGATGGTGAGGAAAACGAAATCACACATTATCTGCATCAATAGGAGTCCCCTTGGGGGAGATGGAGGTGGGGCATAAATAAAGTTTTTATTATTATTATTATTACTACTATTATTATTATATAGTATCTAGATCAATGCTACCCCTCTATTATGCCTTGGTTAGACCACACCTGTGTCCAATTCTGGGCACCACAGTTGAAGAGAGATGTTGACAAGCTGGAATGTGTCTAGAGGAGGGCGACTAAAATGATCAAGGGTCTGGATAACAAGCCCTATGAGGAGCGGCTTAAAGAGCTGGGCATGTTTAACCTGCAAGAGAGGAGAAGGCTGAGAGGAGACATGATAGGTAAAGGTAAAGGGGTAATAGTATGAAATCTGGGTCCGGAAGCTCTGAGCTTTACACTGTTTCCGCATAGCTCCTTCGGGAGCACTGTTTGCGCAATGCAGAACGGAACACAGATATTATAGAAGGAATGTAAGACTTCTTTAATGATAAGACCCTAACCCTTACCCGAACCCTAAGCCTTACCCTAAACCTTCCCTTAACCCTAAGCCTAAACCAAACCCTAGCCCAAACCCTAAACCTTATCCTAACCCTAACCCCTAAGCCTAATTCTAACCGTAATCCTAACCCTTACCCTACCCCAAACCCTAAACTTTATCCTAACCCTCCCCTCCTTTCTATCCTTCCACCAAACTGAAGTATATTTCCGCCCTCAGTCTGCCACCCTCCCCTTCCTTTATTCACAACCGCCGTTGTGGAATGTGCGTAACGCTCGGAGCTTCCGGACACAGTTATCATACAATCACTGGCAAAGGTTTTCCCCTGACATTAAGCCTAGTTGTGTCTGTCTCTGTGGAGTGGTGCTCATCTCCATTTCTAAGCCGAAGAGCCGGAGCTATCCATAAACCCCTCCAAGGTCAGCATGACTGCATGGAGCACCATTACCATTCCACAGAAGCTGTATCTATTGATCTACTCACACTTGCATGTTTTTGAACTGCTAGGTTGGCAGAAGCTCAGCCTAACAGCGGGAGCCTCTTGGCACTGAAACTTCATGGTGCAAGGATCCTCCCTCTTTGTTTTTGCCAAATTGTTTGAATTTTAAATGTACACAATTAACAATTTTAAAAATCTGTGTGTGTGTGTGTGTGTGTGTGTATGTATGTGTGTGTGTGTGTGTGTGTGTGTGTGTGTATCTGTGTATAAATATTAACTATGAATTGTTTGTAAGTTGGATGTTTGTAACTTGGAGACTACCTTTATACACACACACACACACACATATACATATATGTGTGGGAGGGCACTGTTCCATTATCTGAACAGAAGCCACAAGGGGGTGCTAGAGAGAGAAGGATAGTCCATTTTAAAGGAGGGAAGGGAGTTGAAGGAGTTAAATCATTTTCTTCTGTTTTCCTGTTTTTCCCCCACCCGTGTCCCCATCATCAAAACAATCATCCTTTACGACATGGGAAGTGGGGAGGGACAATAAACAAATGGTTTTCTTCCTTCAACTCTCCCCCTCCCCATAAAATGATTATTTTCTTTCTAGGCCCTCTTTTGGCGTCCACCAGGATAATGGAACAGTACCTATAAATCTGTATATAAATCTTAACTATGAATTGTTTGTAAGTCAGATGTTTGCAACTTTGGAACTGTCTATATACATAAACTATCCTATCCTATCATCGATCTACTCCTTTGGGATCTACCGTTTGCCAACATATACGATCCTGTGCTTTTCTTTTCCATGTCTGGCCAAATACCTTAACCATTGGTTTGTCCCATCAAATACGAGGTCTGCCCAAGGGTCACTTGTGGTCTCTTGGAATCCAGTTTGTTAGTCAACATGTCCATCAGTTGTCTTTTATGTGTGCTATGTGCCCTACCCATCTTCTTTTTGCCTCAAAGATTTCATTGATCACGTTATGCACCTTGGTTCTTTGACACAACTCTTTACTGCTGACTTTATCTCTTTCTTACTGTATGTGTGTGTGTATAGTCAGTCCCCAAGTTACAAACATCCAACTTACAAACAACTCATACTTTAAAACGGGATTGAGACAAAAGGAAATGAGAGAAATCTATGCCTCCGAAGACATATATTATTCACTCCTGGAAGAGTTATTATGGTGTTGGAAAAAAATTCTGAAAGTGCCTTGGACCACAAGAAGATCCAACCAATCCATACTCCAGGAAATAAAGTCCAATTGCTCACTGGAGGGAAGGATATTATAGGCAAAGATGAAGTACTATGGGCACA